TTTCGATTAAAGGGAACTAAGTAAGGCTTTCAAATAAACTCGTAAAATTCTACCTATGTGGCTTAAATGGTAAAATGAGGAGTATAGAACACAACAGTTTGTCGGGATATTTTGAAGTTGCACGCAGTGTATTAATTTAGTTTAAAATGACCAATGATGTAGAGAATCTTCATGAATTTTGCATTTTTAGCCACCACCATCTTAAAACAATAATGATGTTCATGGTAGGATTGGATTTATAAACATTAGGAGTGCATATACTAGATCGAAACAGCCCATAAAATTATCAGCTGTTGGTCTGAACCATGTATGGATGCTTAGCTCGCATTAACTAGGATCCTTGAAATTGTACGGAGAAATGGTCAATGACTCTTGGTAAATTTACTGAAAAGCGTTCATGATTTCGTAGATGTAATCACTTTTCATTTACTTTGAAATTCTGAATACTCTAATTTTTATCTGACTGCTTTGATCTATTATCTTTTCTTCACTATAGTTTTATTTCACTTTTGTCCTATTCTTTTTCATTGTACTGATCTGCACTATAGAAATTCGAAAGGCTCTCTATTTTATGTATAGGCATTGATTAATTTGTCAATCTGTCATCTTACTTAAACACTATGTAGGGGACTTTCTAGCGAGCTGAGTAACAGAACAAGTATTTGAATAAAAATTCCAAGTTAATTAAGTGATAATATAACAGTATATCATAAAAATACAGTAAAGAGTTGTATAAATTAATCGGTTACTTGGTTATACAAATAAAGTCCATGGCTACAAATTATTAATATAATCCACAAATTTTCATTTCTGGAGTTTGTCTACTGGTAGAAGCTGTGTACCGGTTGTAGAATAGTTTTCGGATGAGGATAAGAGGTTCCTGTGAAATCCAAAGTATACAACACGGTTAGTAGTGAAACAAGTAGACAGTGTAGACTAGTAAAAAGACGAAGTAACCAGCAGCACACTGTATTTCAGATTGTACTCGGAAGTTATCGATATTCCAATATGAATCGTTTTAAACAAAAGTCGTGTACAATGTTTCTAATTTCAACATATAACGAAAGAATGTACAATCGTATTGTTACAGACTCCACAACTATTATAACCTGATTTATTAAATGCAGCTACAGAGATAGTTAACATTTTAAGACTTCAAAACAACTGATCAACAATACTTAATAGAGTCAGGAAGAAAATGAAAAGCAACTGGGAGAAAACTTTTTTATTGATGAAGCCTGTACGACTGTACTTGGACTTAGTAAGGCTTAGAGAAGTATGTCATCAAGTAATTGGGAGAGTAACATAATTGATTCAGTGATTTCTAAAGATAGAAAAATATTACGCGTTTAAAATTCAATAAGGTGAGTAACTGTATCAATCATATCATACTTCAAAATACTCTTTAGTAGACAGCTATACGTCTTATTAAATATAGAGACGACGGTACAAGCTCTGGAAATGATTTCGCTAATAAAGAAAATCGTATTTATTGAATTTATTTCGTTTTCTCCAGTGCATTATTGCTCTTTTTGTGATTTTATTTAAAAAATCAATTGTATTAGTGTATCGTTCACATGAAAAGTTAATTAGCTACACAGTATAGCAGTCAGGCCTGAATAAAAGAGAAACTAGTGCAATTGCTCAGGCGTACAATTTTACACAGTTGAGAGTTATATAGAGTCAGTAAAAATGAAAATAAAGGGATACATTACATCACTCAAGAATCCATGAGGTAAAAGAAATAACAAACTAGGAAGATGAGACTAAAACTGGTTACTGGGCATCAGCTAGTGTATGTGTCTATTCCTAAATGCTTACAGAGATTGATCAGTAGGATATCCCATGTGGCCACTAAGCTAAGTGACACTATGCTGCTGTGTGCTTCCTTGAATCCTAACTGGTATTAGAAGTGGAAAATTGCTTGAATAGATACACTGTTATATCTACGTTTTTTATTGGTAGGTCCTTATCAGATATTTGTATCTGGAATCCCTGGGAAACTGATGCCTTTGGTGGGTCCAGATATTTGTCAGAGACTTCGGGAACGAGTGATTCATTTTCGAATCTCTAGAAGAATGAGGTACTGCCAAAGGGCAGAAATGTCCTGCTGATGACTGTTGGCAGGCACAATGATGAAGCTGAAAAGGGCTAGCTACGGACTGATCTTTATCGCTTATCTGTTTAACATTCAGAATAAGGATAAAGCTAAAATAGGAAGGGTTTGTACCGCTGTAAATAACTGCGGATTGGTTTCCTAAACCACTTAATGACTAATTTCGTTTACTGAGGTAGCTACGAGAGGATCCAGTAGCTAAAGAAAAGATGTTGTGTTTCGTTCTAATTACCAGAAGTTCTTCAGTTTTACTCCATTTCATTTTAACGTATTTCACTTAATTAAGCTTTCATTTCCACACTCATTGCAGTCATTAAAAGTACTTGTCCTCATGAACTAACTTATAGACTTCATTCAATACTTTACTTCCAACCGTCCCTACTCCTAGACCACCAACCCTACTGTTTGCAAGTAAAATTATGTGAAATAGTCAAGTATCTGTAGCTTTAGCGAATTGCTTCCCGCCAATAAATATGTTTCGCCACTATGTAGTTGAACGAACCTTGCACATTATATTTGACACCTATAATACAAGGATGATTTGCGGAGTATTTAGGATACGCTGATGGAAGTCAAGTGAATTTTGTGTATCATTACAGAAAATTTCTTACCCAGAAGTCTCTTAAGAATAGTTCACATTTGTAACATATTAAGACATCAACCATTCATACAGCTGAAATAGAATTCTTTGGCCCGAAATCAGAAAGTAGTCATGCTAATATAACTCATAAATCTGAATTCAGTGACTGCCAATAATGGAATTACAAAGAGGCAAATGTTTTTCTATGGAGTTCTTGAAATGTCAGGAACTGACAGCTACAAAATCTCAGTGAAGTGGCACAAAATCGAACACATTAGCTAACACTACTTTAATCCCCATCATTTTTGTGATTAGGGATATTTATACATTTCTTTTTTATGTCACTTTTGTTCAGTCTGAAACCATTTTACATGTGTATACTTAGTCTATGTATACCTCCTGCTAAACGTAAACAGCGACAACTAATTAATTTCAATGCAAACTTCTTAAATGGCATTTTTGTTTATCTCTTTAAAGTAAATAATGTGCACATGCACTTTGATAGAGACTAGTTGCGAAGCAAGAGATGATAAAAACCAAAAATAGGCATTATTGATAAACAATAGTCATTTAAATGGACAAACTGACTCCAACGCCCGTATTAACAATCTAATAAGAGTTTTCTTAGTACACTGACATTTATAAACACTTATTTTTACTAAAAATTGACGCCTATAATCGTCTCTGCGTTTGTTTTCTTATGCCACCCTAATGCCAAAAAATTATGATCAGTTTCAGCTACCATGACTGAACATGACAACAGAAATCTGGCAGATAAATAGAGATTCTAATAGAACTAATTCTCCTCGTTTTAATGTCCACAAGCGTAACCTGTTAGGCGACTATGATCCAAAGAAACTATGTTGGCCAATCAAATCTTCCTTATGATATTCCGATATTTGAGTCTTTAGGTGTTCACTGAAACAAAAGAAGCAATTATATTTGTCTCTTATATTACATCAAATCCTTGGGTGAATCTAAAGTAAAATAATTTTTATTTTCAGTTATAGCTAATAAGGAATCTCTGTTTCTTCTCCATTTTATTGATAACCATCTCAGCTTTTACCTAGCATAGAGACTTATCTTAGATATTATACCAATAATTTAACAAGATAATTGAGTGTTTTTTATAGGATCATTAGAGACTTAATTGGCTTCCACTTAACGTACTGCACATACTGTCTCGAATAAAATATTTCTTGAAGATAATAATGTGTAGTTTGGTAGATCGTGATTAGTAGTGGAATCCACGATGCGTATTTCATCCTCTCGGGGACACATCATTTAGGTGTACCTGCATTCCCACTGAGAGGTAGTATTCTCAAAGAGACTGAATCCTAGCACCCAAAGTTTTAAATGCCAAAGCTTTATCCACTAGGTCACCTGCATCATGAGAGCCAACTCTTGTGCAACAGGTATCAGTTATTATTTATTTGACTTTGTCCTTCCTGTTGACTGATTGGACAGAAATATTCGGCCTCTGTTGACATGTCTAACATTTCGATCCAATCAGTCAACAGGAAAACAAAAATGAGTGAAAGGAATAACACTGATTTTCGATGTTTAATTTCTATTTGGTTAAATATGTAAGCAAATTAAATCGCTTTGGTGTCATGTAATTTAAACAGCAAAACCAAAGTGTTTGAAATACTCTTGAAACATCAACAATCCACCGACACGAAACAGTTATTCAGTGAAATTAATTCAGAAAAAGAAAACGCGGTTGATCAGTTATGATAAAATAGTTCAAAATAACTGACTTACTTCCTTAATATTCATCATCAATAACCTTACTTGACAAATTTCTTTACTGATCAAATAACTGGATATTTTGTTAACATTCTCATCTAGTTTAAACGCAGGCCTGACAACTGAGAATTTTCTGTTCAACTGTGTAAAACCAGATATGCAGAATTATACTTTCATATTTAATTTAACATAGAAGGAATAATAAGGCTCTTAAAATAGATTAAGTATAAAAACATGATTTTCCTCTAACTCAGAACATAAGTAATTAAATGTATGCCTTTATCTTAAATAAAGTAATATATATGTAAACAAATTTACTAGCTTATGGTGACCGATGTATTTTTCTCAATCTAGAGTATGTCAGTCTAAGTCCAACGATGAAGAAATCAATTGGATCACTAACCTAAATGATGTGACAGTGATTTGAATTAGACAACATTTGATTTGTTTTATTATTGTTAGATAGAACCTAAGCAGGCACAAAATATGCTACGGCATATACTAAAAGACAAGCTACTGCAATCGATTGGTAAATCATTTAAGTTTTTCTGTAGAGATAAATATTTATTATATCGTAGAGTTAGTTGTACAGTTGACATTTACTGTGACTTCATCATAACAATAAGTACGATCGAAATTTCTTACACACTGGAATCGTTGTGAAGAAACACACTGTAACTTTTAAATAATTAATGCTCAAAAGAAGATAATTTATCCACTATTTTAAAATAATTTTTTATATCAGGAAATCTGTCTTCCACAAAATGATAAATAAAAATGCTTTGTTACAACAAAAAAAGTGGTACTATAAAACAGTGATATTAAAAATGAAGTTAAAATATTTGGATTTTCGAGAAAAAAGGCGCTAGAAACCTATAAGTTAGAAAAGATATGAATTTTCATGGATACATTATCGCCTTACAAAATCTTCTTCATTGAAGGGTTTACAACCAAAAAATTATTTGATAAAAGTCAAAAAATATCATTTCGAAGAACAAAATAAAAAGTTGTTGTAAGGGTATATAAAAATAAAACGTCATAATTACACAAACTATTACATTTAAAATAGTTAACCTGTAAAGTCATTGCCTATAAACTTCTCTATATCATATAGTTCTGCATGTACTTTACGACCAGCAAAATATCGTCCATTCAATGCTGTAATAGCTCTATTTGTTGACTCTAAATCACTGAATACAACAAATATCTTGACAGTGAACTCTCCAGTTTTACTGCGTTCTTGATGTATTGAAACTTTCTCTACTGATCCATAACTAGAGCATTCTTCAGTAACTTCCAGTTCTAAATCTTCGTCACACTCTCCTGGTTCAACCATATTTCTTAGCAACATAACACTAGAAAAACAAAATGTTAGGATATTTTATATTTCACAGCATATACATTAATATGTGAAAAAAAACTATTCATGCAGAATTTATTTCAATTCATTAGTATTAAGTTCAGTGATTTAGTTTAAAATGAGTATATGGTGATTTTCCTAAGTATAATAAAGTATAATAAAGCATAAAGGACAAAGCCGAGACACAAATCAACACTGGCGAAGAGGTCAGCGTCGAAAAGCACTGGAACAACTTGAAAACAGTGTGGAGTCAAACATGCATGGAAGTTCTAGGCAGAAAGAAGAGACAGGACAAACAGTGGCTCACTACGGACACTTGGAGACTGATAGAAGAGAGAGGGATGAGAAACAAAAGATTCTCCATTGCACCGACGAGCAACAAAAACAAAATTTGAATGCAAACTACAAGACACTGAACAAAGGAGTAAAAAAGAGTGCCATAGAAGACAAAAGAAAGTATTATGAAACCATGGCAAGTGAAGCAGAACAAGCTGCAGGCAAAGGAGACCTCGCAACACTCTACCAAACAACTAGGTACCTATCGGGCAAACGTTTGACACAAATTAAGCCGGTGAAGGATGACAATGGAAAGTCAATCACCAAAGAAGTGGAGCAAAGGAGACACTGGGCTGAACACTTCAAAAGACTCCTAAATCGACCACCACCTACAACGCGCACAACAATACCAGTGAACACCAACCTCCCGACGAAATCAGAAGTCCTGTAGGCAATCAAGATGCTAAAAGCTAGAAAAGCAGCAGGACCAGATGGAATCCCAGCAGAAGCATTGAAAATGGATCCAGAGACAACAGCGAACTTGATGACGCCACTACTGGAGAAGGTGTCGAAAGAAGGCAAAGTACCCGAGGATTGGAAGAAAGGATACTTATTCAAACTACCAAAGAAAGGAGACCTAAGTCAATGCAAGAACTGGCGCGGAATTATGCTCCTGTCCATCCCAAGCAAAATACTAAGCCGCATCATCCTGGAGAGAATCAAACATGCCCTGGATGAAAAACGTTGACCGGAACAGGCTGGATTCAAGAGAAACAGGTCATGCATTGATCAAATCGCCACATTACGGATCATCATTGAACAAAGCTTGGAATGGCAGTCACCTCTCTATCTCAACTTCATCGACTTTGAAAAGGCCTTCGACGGCGTCGATCGAGAGGTGATTTGGAAACTACTACGCTACTACGGTGTGCCACCGACAATTATACACCTCATCCAACAGCTGTACGACAATGCTGCATGCCAAGTAATCCACAACGGGAAACTTACGGAATCCTTCGAAGTGAGGACAGGAATAAGACAAGCTGGCTGCCTACTATCGCCAATGATTTTCCTGATTGCGGTAGATTGAATAATGCGACAGACAGCGGGCAGCGAGGAAACAGCCATAAAATGGACCCTCATGAAAAACTTGGAGGATCTGGACTTCGCCGATGTAGTATATACGTCTGATTTCTCACGAACTGGAAGATATACAAGTGAAAAGCAACAGGTTGGTAGAGGAAGCATCAAAGATAGAACTCCAAGTAAACATAGAGAAAACAGAGGTGATGAAGATTCCTGGACGACAACAGCAACAACAGACAACGATCAGCGTAAATGGGAGGAACCTGAAAGAAACAACCTCTTTTACCTACCTGGGAAGCATCATCTCAACTACAGGCGGAACTGACGAGGATATCAAAGCAAGAATCGGAAAAGCAAGACAAGCTTTCACTACTCTCAAGCCTGTGTGGAGGTCAACAGCACTCAGCATCAAAAATAAGATCCGGATTTTCAACTCCAATGTGAAGTCAGTGCTACTATACGGATCAGAGACTTGGCCAGCGCGTCATAAAGAGCATCTCAAACAAACTACAGACCTTCATTAACAGTTGCCTTCGCTCAATACTCAAGATCAGATGGCCAGAAAAGATCAGCAACAGGGATCTCTGGGAGCGAACCAGCCAGGAACCGATTGTGAAACAAATAGGCAGGAAGAAATGGAGATGGATTGGCCATACTATGAGGAAACCATCAAGTGACATCACTAGACAAGCCCTTGAGTGGAAACCGAAAGGAAGGCGGCGAGTTGGTTGTCCAAGGGTGACTTGGAGGAGGTCATGTGAAGAGGAGATGAAAACGTGTGGGCAGACTTGGAGCCAGGTGAAGACTCTAGCAGAGAACCGAACGCAATGGAGACGCACGGCTGAAGCCCTATGTTCCTCTAGGAATTAAAGGAAACAAGAATAATAATAATAAAGTAGGTCTTTACTATTATTATTACTGTTCCCTTGGGTTCCTAGTGGAACATAGGGCTTCAACTGCACGTCTCCACTTGCTTCTATCTTCTGCTGTACTTTTCAATTGCATCCATGTTAATCCATACTGTTTCAGTTCCTCATCACACGATCTCCTCCATGTCACCCTTGGACGTCCCACTCGCCGCTTCCCTTTCGGGTTCCACTCGAGCTATGGCCTGACGCGCGATGTCACCCAGCAGCCTCCTCAGCGAGTGTCCAATCCATCTCCACTTTCTCCTGCATATTTGTTGAGCGATTGGTTCTTGCTTTGTTTGTTCCCATAGCTTCTTCTTGGTGATTTTTTCCGGCCATCTGATCTTGAGTATAGAACGAAGACAGTTGTTGATAAAGGTCTGCAACCTGTTGGAAATATTCTTTGTGATCCGCCAAGTTTCTGATCCGTATAGCAAAACTGACTTGACGTTTGTATTGAGAATCCGAATTTTGTTGTTGATGCTGAGTGACGAAGATTTCCAGATTGGTTTCAGGTTGGTGAATGTGTTTCTCGCCTTCCCGATTCCCGATTTGACATCCTCGTCCGTTCCTCCTGTGGTTGAGACAATGCTCCCTAGATTAGTGAATGAAGTAACCTCTTTTAAATCTCCCCCACTGATGGTGATTGGCGCTGGATGTTGCTGCTGTTGTTGTTGTTGTCGGTTGGTTATTTTCATAACCTCCGTCTTGTCTATGTTCACCTGGAGTCCTGTCTTCTCTGGCTGCTTCTTCGACCAGTTTGTCGGTTTTCGCTTGTAAGTCTTCGATTTTGTGTGACATCAAACATAAATCATCCACGCGCGAAATCCAGGTCTTCTAGGTTCTTCACGTCGGTCCAGGATATCCCTGTCTCCTACTTTCCTACTGTCTGACGCATAATCCAGTCCACCACAATTAGGAATATCATTGGTGATAATAAGCACCCTTGTCTGACTCCTGTGTTTACTCCAAACGCTTCGCTGAGTTTTCCGTTGTGGATCACTTGACATGTGCCGTTGTCGTACAGTTGTTGAATAAGGTTGATGAATATTTGGGGTACGCCGTAGTACTTGAGTAGTTTCCAAATTACTTCGCGGTCAACGCTGTCGAAGGCCTTCTCAAAGTCTATGAAGTTGAGGTAGAGGTTTGATTGCCATTCCATGCTTTGTTCGATGATAATGCGTAGAGTTGCAATTTGGTCAGAACATGATTTGCCTTTCCTGAATCCAGCTTGTTCTGGTCGGAGTTCTGTATCCAGTGCGTCCATTATTCTCTCCAGGATGATGCGACTCAGGATTTTACTTGGCGTCGACAGGAGCATGATTCCCCGCCAGTTCTTGCAGAGTCCTAAGTCGCCCTTCTTTGGTAGTTTCACCAGGTAACCTTTCCTCCAGTCAGTAGGTCTTTAACACAACATATATCAAGCCCACAGAATAATTATAAGACATTTTCCCAAATATCTCTGCCTTTTACTTGCAAATATATCTTCTACCCATAGAAAAGTTGCTCTTTATTCTAAAGTATGCACTTGTATTCGCTACAATTACGATTATTCAAATAACCATTTTTAAAAGTATTTAATTTTTCACAATTTGAAAATTGTTGAGAAATTTGCAATCTACACAGTTCGTTTGGTGAAATTTCGCCGTAGTTTCCTTTGGAAATCAGGATTATTAAAATCATAATACGTGGTCTACTTGATACCATAAATGCTAAGTCAAGAAAGCAATTGCATTTGCATAAAACTATATACTACTGATTGACTGGTTAAGATGAGATGTTGCACATCACTATGAAGCATTAATGCTTGCTAGCATAGTACATTGGTAAATATAATGATTGTTTAACAGTCGTCTAATTGTAGTCCAGAAGAAATTACGTGGCTGACAGATAGTTGAAGGGATGTTCATATAAGATATATATATTTACTCAAGAATTGGTTTTGTAGGGATTTTGTTTGATTGGTTGGAGGATTTCGTCATGCGCTGACATCAGTTAGATGATGCTCACTAGCGACTGGCCCTATTCAGGCAGTTACCTGGGGTTCTAGCGGGAAGCCGTGACCAGCAGGGTAGAGCAGGTTGAAAGTGAGGACATTTACTCATCGAAGAAGATATTACAAAGTGGTCGCGCTATGTTGTGAATTGGCAGAAGTTAGAATTCATGGGTCATTGGATCGCATCCCAGTGGCTTAATGGTCTACGAGCTCGATAGCCTTGTAACCAGAAGGTACTGGGTTCGAGCCCCAGTGGGTGCGTACTGTGAAGCGTCCCAAACTGAGACGAATATATATATATATATACATCAGATATCCGCATATAATATACACGTGGATTTAGTCACAACAGTTCAACCCCATAAATACCACCTGATAGGACACTAAAATCTAGAGAGTCACTATCGACTAAGGAATAATTAAAGACCAAGGACTACCGGTCAGTAGTAGTACAATAGTGCAAACACATGAAACGACACAGAGTTAACATCAAGAGTATCAGTTTCTGTAGATATAACGTGTTAATTCAATCACTTTGATCTTTCAACTAATGTTGACGTATGAGATAGTACAATGATTATCCAATATCATCGGTGAGTAATAGTGCTTAACAGACCATATAGACCACGACTTTTTATTAAGTCTTTAGGAGGGCTATCTGAAAGCCTATCGCTAATGAGTAATTGACTGATATTTGCTTAGTTGGTTTGTGAGCAGTGGACTAAAGAATCATGAACTAAAACGAAATAACTGTCTAGCATTTCTTGATTTGCAATGATTATCAAGCTGAATTCGGCTAGAGATGAATTTCATTGTAAAATGACTGGAATTTCAACAAACCTTAAAACCAAACTTTATGATCGGCTAAATTTCTAATGAAAAATTTAGAATTAAAACAATTCCTTTCTTAGCACACTTTATATATCGCATTATTAATTTAAGACTATGCAATTCCTATTAATAACAGTGCATGTGTACATATATATTATAGTGATCATACTTCCCGAATGCCAGCTTATCATTGCCTGCAAGAAGTGTTCTAACATCTGGGTCTGCCTCTCTCTTCGAAAAGCGGGCTTAAAGGTGATGAGTAAGATCACTTATTGTTTACTATCCATCAATTCATATACTTGAACTTTAATTCTACTGACCACATTGATGTCAAATGTCTATGCTGAATAATTGCATCATGTCATTGTAAAGCATGGTGAGAAATTATCGAAAATATGTATTTGCTTGATTTGTGTTCTCCATTAAAATAATAAATGGTTTCATTGTATTCCCAGTAGTTGATAAAGCTTGTCAAATAATCACACATTCTCTCAATTTAGTTTATTTAAAATTAAAATAAAAATTAATCCTATGCATTATACAAAAGCATCTACTACTGAACTTGTTAGGTGTATTTAACAATATGTGAAGTTAATAAAGCAGGATCATTTAGTTACTTTTAAAGCGAAATTTTATCGACATTCGTGTTACTATTTCTTTGATAACAAACAGGTTTAATAGTATACCTCCACCAGATTCAGGGTTATTATTCACTAAGAATAAAAAAGATGTTCTTTTTCATTTCGCCTACAAATACTCAAATTTGGTGAGAAAAAATCTATATTGATTCGAAACAGTATTAGCAATCAGCATTATCTTCATGAATGTACTTCGATGGGTAGATTTAGGCTTATTTTTTGGCAATGACTTATAGAAATGTAATGCTGAAAATTTGGTCACAGTTTTTGAATTGTTGTTCAACTATATTGAGCGTTCTTTTCTGACAGGATGGAGGGGTGGATGAAAGTGAATAAAGAGTCATTGAGACAGTCTAACTTTTGTATATTACACATGAAATGATATTAAGGGAAATATCTTCGTCGATGCACATGTTAACGATAGATATAATTAATTTTCATCCAATTATAGGCTTAATACAATAGAAAATAACACTTTTAACACAATGCATAAGGTCGATTACACAAATAACACAAGACAGAAACACTAATTTGAATATTGTCATCAGGTGTAGTAAGAAGGAAATCAGTCAGTGTTATGTGATGTAAGAGAGAAAGAGAATTTTTGACTTATTTTAAGGATAAGGCTAATATAGGAACAATCTGAGAAAAAATTTTCACATATTATTCTTCAATACAATATAGGTCCCTTAAAAACCTTGTTGTTGATCTTTTTAAGCCACATATCAATTTCTTTAACACTTGAAAGTAACGGAATGAATTTAAGTATACTTTCATAACTGGAACAAATTTGAGTAAACACGAACAATAAGTAGTAATTTCTAAACTTCTGATAGAAAGAAAGCACACTGGCAACAAAGCGTTTGGAAAAATGTCGTGTGTCATGAGTCACAGAGGCTAGGTACACCTTACATTTTCACAGATTATCTAAAACCTGATATAGATTATGAATATATCCGTCAAATCCGTCATATTTCTTACTTTGGAAGTACAACACTATTAATTCCACGCTAGTATATCAAGTCTTTTGAAACAGAATATGAAGAAAGCAAAATGTATTATCACAGTGGAAATGCTTACCTGAAATACTAAGTATAACACGAAACGAGTTTTCAGTATTGCTTTGTTTTCTGAACACCGGAAGTAATGTAATCGATTCCTTACGGTTTTGAAAGCATAACTAGTGACTTTGCTTTAAATCGTGCGAAATGAGAAATGAGGCCTAAAACTGGTACAGCTAAAATACAAGCTTAATTTGTGTTTCTGTCTATGTTTCCGAACTATGCACAGAAATTATTGTTTAGTTGTAGATGTCACTCAGAAGTGTATTTATAAACTTGACTATTAGTTAGCTTCATCTACATCCACCTCCTACTTAACAGTAGGAATAAACTGCGTAGTTATACAATTTTTTATTTGTCATGGTTACTTTTCCACCAGTGTTAATCTGTATGCTGAGTGATAAAGTAATACATCTAAGCTCCAGCAAATTCAACGTTTCTTATTATCTGGTTACAAAACCTCATCACAGTTGGTGTCTTCCAGCCTGTACCATTTTTGACGCCAACTAGATGTCCAGTTGTCTGGAGAAGATTACTAGTAATGAGGAGTAATTCAACCCGTCCTGACTGTAAGACATAACAGCTGGAAGCAAAAGTTATGAATAAACGGAAAGTTTCCCGACAGTGACATCATTCCACTCTTCGTGTGAGGTAGAATCATACCGTATAGAAAGTTTATGTTACACTTATAGTTTTAGGTAGGAAATAATAATAATTGGAACAAACTGTATGCTTGTCGAGCCTCTGCCTTCCTAAAACAGCAGTATTATCTCAAGAAGGATTAGGCTAGATACATTTAAGGGTGGCTGCACTATAATATAGTATCAATCCATGAGATTGTCACCATGAGAGTGCAGTTTGTGTTGCTAGGGTCCCTGAGATACTAAGGGGTACCGGTTGGAGACCCTGGGTAACATGAAAAAAGTAGTTTAGAATGGTGTAGACTTATTTGTCTATTTTGCAGCTCCACCATTTGCTTTCCAAAAATTTTCAAGAATTCTCACCGTCTGTTTGATTTTCTTACTTCACTTTAGAGTCAACAGAAGGTGAATCAATCCTCCCTTTGCTTCAGCCACAACAGTACCATTTTTTGACTCATTCGGCTGACTTCGGTCATTAGTGGTTATGGCAGTGATTTTATGATTCTAAGTAACTTAATCACCTTTATGATTTTTTCCTTCATATATTTCTGTCTGCTATTTTCGATTTCTGACCCGGAGTACTGGTGCTGTGGTTTGCATTAGTTCCTATAAGTAGACGGCATTCTTCTTTTACCACTTTTTACCTCTCCAAGACCTCACAAAAAATGCTGTGTCATCACAGTTACCGTCTTATTTAGAAAGTAAGACATTCAAATTCCAGATGAACACAACTAAAGCAGAGTTCTTTTATTTGTGCTAAGCAATGGGTTTTTTCATGAATATTCCCCATGGAGCTAATTTTAAGAACTTTACAATGACCCTGTTTTATCTTTTAGTTAATTTATTATGAAGGAACAGGTGACGCGTCTGATTATTCTAGTTAAACTCAGACACTTCCTACTGGACTAACTGGAAAAATATAATATGCAAATCAGTTTCACGCACTGTGTTGGTCATCTTTACGAGCTATAATAGTCCTACATTTATCTTTAATTGTCAGTTATTACATAATAATCAACGCCAAAGTCTTACGACGTTGACTGTGGTAAAATACACTATACAGGATTAAGAATATTTACTATAGCAAGTCGTTCTTCTTTATTCATCTGTGAATCCAGGTGTGTTGGAATATCATTGGCTGTCTTTAAATAAACAAAATCAGTCTCGATAAAAATAATTCGTTATTAAAACCGGTGTTAGAAATATACTCACATAAAGCTTAGAATAAATTGAATGATTTAAAGTAAACACTAAGTTGATTATCTATATGAAATTTATGGTGGATTCAGTTTATGATTTATTCAAATATTTTGTTTAAATGGTTGTCAGGACTGTTTCGTGAGATAATCTCTTAGAAACTCGGTTAGAACTTAATACGATGAAAGTGACTGTCATGAGACATAGAGATTTACCGGACGGGCATGCCTAAATGTTCATATTTTTAAAGCTAAATTAACAACCTAAACATCTACTGGTATCGGTAACAAACAGTAAATTTCGATGATTTAACAAAACAATAAACTGAGCTGAAATGCCTGCTTTATTTTATGAAACAATCACTGTTAAATTAACTAAATGATGTTGAAAATATCACTCGTCCTATGTCAAACGTTTCGCTAAAGTCGACTGTTTCCATACTAAAGAACGAAGAATTTTTATTGCAGTTATACAAAAAATTGACTGGCGAAACCTACGAAAATAGAGAGACACATTTCCACGTTTGGGTGATGCAAATAAGCAAATTCTAGTGCAAAAATAACTTTTTTGAATAAACTACATTAACAAAAAGATCTTATAGACATGACAGTTGTAATTAACGTTTAGCGTCTTTCTTTACAAGTAGAATATATACATAAATGTAGCAGAATCGCTTTAAAGTAAACGTGCACTTACTTTTGCGGAACACGAGACAACTTTTGCATCATTACTTTTCGAGCTTCTTTTCCTTTGATGAACAAATTCTCTTGACTATCGAGTGCAACTTCATCGTCGTCTTTAGCTTTTGTAGTAAAGGAATCAGAAACTTCACTTATATCCTGTGTACCATCTGATTTCATTAGAGGAGGTGAAACAGAAAAGTAAAAGCTATTATTGATCATAAATAAACAATGCATTTTTAAAACTTCAGAATTGACAAGTAATCTTTAAAATGTCTCACAGCAATCAAGATGGGACAGTTTTTGATGATAAAATATTTGAACACAATGTGTTGTCACAACAGAAAGTTAAAGCAGCATACTAAAAACCAACAGTTTGTGATGGACACCTTTTGGCTTGAAGAAGTAAACACTTTCATTTTAGTTTACACTCAGACAGCTGATAAAAATGCCAAGAGTAATTTTTAAAGACGAGAAGTTGCACAAAACTGAATTTCGAACAATTACACAATTAAACTAAACTGTTATTAGAGTAAACGGCTGTTAATAACATCGGTTACCGTTAGCATACTTATGTACATATAATACTCCTTAAAAAATACAGAAGTAATTATATTTTTTTTAAAGTCTAGTATTACCCACTCACGTGTATTTAACTTTTCTGATGGATTTGTGGATGGTGTCTAAAATACAGTGAGACAGAATGACAATTTTTCAGCAAGGTAAAATCATGTCTCCCAAAAACATTTGCTAGTAGAATTAAATGTTGTGTTTGTCGCGTAATACATTGAGTTATTACGCTTCTTGTTTCAGTATAGGATCAAACAAGTAGGTTTTCAGCGGCGGTGCTTTTTCATGTATAACTAAAACTTCTATTCGAGTATAAGGAACAAAATATAAAGGACTATTGTATCACTGGTACACAAGTTCTCCGATCACGTTTAGCTCTTTCTTACATCATTCTTACTTCAGCTTCTTCTTTGAGTAAAGCGGCAGCCCGAAGTGGCTAACATATATACTAGACACCTAAGTCCACTAAGATCCATTTCCCATAGATTCACCCTTGTTACCTAATGCTCTGCATGTTTCTTCAACATATTTTTAAAAATGTTGAAACACCTAACATGAAAGAAGGAAACTCCGTCTGAAAACTTGTACTGTTTTTATGCTTTTTGTGTTAAGTATCTGACAAACATCCGTGAAATAAGACAGAGAAGACTTCTGTGCAGCACCAGCGCATCGATGAGCAGCCGCATACTGAGTCAAAGTTAAATTAGGAACATATTAAAAACCCCAAACAAGCCCTTTCATCTGTGTCTGATTTCCCCCAGAAGTTAGTCCTTTAGGTCTGAGGTAAAACCCAAAATACACAAAATCAGAAAAGCCTTTGACAAATTCACAAGCAGTCCTTAGCATTAGGATTCCTTTCAACATTACCCTACACCTGAAAGAGGAGAACGTTATATCAGAAATATCCATAAAATATCTATCGACATGTCTAAACGACCGATCATTCTCATATAGCTTATGGAACTACCAGCCACTAATCCATCGTTTACATTAGATGGACACCAATTATTGCTAACAGGCAAAAACATTGAATCAGACGTTATCAGAATAGAGTTTTGAAGTTTCTTGTCGTAAAACATGCATCAGTAAATACAAGGATAAAGCAAGTGGAAGGACAAGCTGCCTCAGCCTGTTGTATACTAGATTGTTATGAAATTTCATCAATTTACTAAGCTCCTCAGATGGATGCGATGCTAAATTATTGTCTACAAGATCAGGTAAAGCAATATTGCACAGACGTTTCAGTAAAAAGTTATAGTCACATAGAGCAGCGTTAAAACTAGTATCATCCAACTCTTTACTGACTAGTAAGATACTATTTTTTCCCGTCAGATGTAAAATAACTGAGTTTATAAGGGACAGAAAAGATGACTACATGGTATATATACATAAACCACTGACATTTAGACCACAGATTAGGTTTACAAATTTTAAGTTTAATAACAAATACCTAAACAAGTGTTAAGAGCAAAAGAAAGTCGAAATGTCATTCTGAGCTTTGAAAAATATTTTATGATCTTCTTGACTTACTGTCTTGTTTCTGGCGTTTTCCGCCTCCATAGCATTAAGTTTAGCTGTAACTGAAGCAGCAGCTATCGCGGCAGCAGAAGGTATCTTAGATAAAATATTTATTTCCTCCGGAGGGGAAATGGCTTTGCAGACACGAAGATACTGTCCCCCAAGGTCAAACATATTCATGTTGGCGATAGCATCAAAAGCAGACTGAACTGACTCATATTCGATGAACCCGAATCCGAGGTGCTTTTGTAATTTAGACGGATCAGGGTTAAGTCTACAATATTAGGCTTATTTTCTTGAAAAAGCATACTTGCATAATGATATTTTTCCAAATGCTTCAAACACAAGAGATACGTCATCTTCATTCAACTCTTTATGAACTCCTGAGACATATATTTTCTTTTCAAGTCCATTTTCCTTTATAAGGTCCTCAATAAGTGAATCCGCGTTTAACAAATTGCTAGGTCGACCGACTTTTAGCTGCCTACCTCCCAAAGTGATGTTATTTGTGCTTTGTGAAGCTAGGAATGCTGCTTCTGGATGCTCAAATTCTACGAAGGCAAACCCCTTGTGCTTAAGATTAAGAGAATCCCAACTAAGATTAACGGATCGAACGAGTCCAAAAGGTGAAAAAACCCTTTTGATTGCATCTTCACGTAAATCATAGCTAATAGAGCCTACATATATACGGTTTAAAAGACTCAGAGTTTGTGCCCGCTTGGCGTTGTAACTAGGATGTAGATGTTTCTGTAAGGACTGTTTCTCCAAAGCTGCTTTGATACTTTGTTCAATAGCAAACTTTTTAGCTTTTTCTAAGGCACTTTTCTGATCTTCATCCAAAATAGGTAATTTAAAAGGAAAATCATTTTCAACAGCACCTGGTCCAAGGAACACAGGACCTAATTGATCATACCTCATTTTAATCAAACTTAATAAGGCTGCCGGTGGTATTGGCGTATTCAGGACAGCATTGCTTCCGAGCCTTAACATATTTGTAGCTGACAAGTTAGCATTAGACAAGATATTTGTATTCACGATCTTAAATCTAAATTATAAATAACAGATTATTACCGATGAAATGTTCATGTGTTAGTATATCAATCTAATTTTTTTTAAACTTCGGAAACCGCTGAAGGCGAAGTTAAGCAATACTTGATAACATATATTTATTTTGTCTAGCCTCTTAAAACATATACACTGTATTTTCAAAAATGCTTCTATAAAACAATAAAAGTACCGACTAACTCCATAGTTAAAATAACGTGTTAATATTATCACACATCCAATTTTTCCATAATTATTTATTAGATCTCTATTGCCTTATAACTACATAAAGTATTCTTCATCACGGTTCAACCATGCGAAGAATAATTCTGCTGATAGGTATGGAAAATGCCGTGCGGTAGTCCAGAGTTATGAACAATGACATTTTGATTTCTTATGCTTATGTCTACATTAGGTTTCTACCTCCAAATATGTCAGTTTACCAAGTAAAAGTATGCTTCTTGGGACAAAAACCTATTGTCTCACATTTAATCAGATGTTGATGTAAGTCGATGAAACACGGCTGCTATGTTATTGCTTAGCGCACAGTTTTATCGGTATTTGCGAACTTTGAGCAGTAAAATTAAGTCTGTAGTTGTAAAAATTCCCCAGACTTGCTAGCTTATAGCTTTCACAATTCAACATTGAAAGAAACTTCAAAAACGGTTCCCGTCTTTGCTGTCGTATTATTTGATTTCCGTCTTTCGCTCCTCGGTCTTCAGTATACATTCTAAGCATTCCAAAGCCTTGACTATTACTTATTTAGTGACCTAGGATTAGTAACCACCTATGTAAACCACGGCGTCATCGCAAGACTACATAAGGAAACCTACCTCCAGAATACGAACATAGCTTTCAATACTATATTCTCACTAAACATTCGAGAGTGTCAAATAGCAGTAGGGTTCATCGATATCCTTGAGCACTTCATTAACCACAGGAGTATCCACCCACTTCACAGTAGGGAGTTGTCAACTTTTAAATCTCCGCAGCATAAAAGCCATGAAACCTATTCATACTTAATGGCCTGATAAATTGTTCATTCTCAGCTGCACCGGTTTTATGCAGGGGCTGCCAAATCTACCCGGAAACATCAAGAATGTAAATCCTGACGCTTCCATTACGAAATAGCTTAACAAGGATGAGAAAGAGATTGTACCAATACATAACAAAAAACAGCACCAATAGTCCTCTCATTTGACTCAGTCCTGTGTCAACTGGTTACTAGTGATTGGCAGCCAGTTGTCTTTTTCTCGAAGAAACAATGTACGATAACTTCTCAGTGAGCTCCTGGAATTTGTTGGAGGCTGGCGAGTTCACTATTCCTATAGTTCATCTTAGACTTACGTCACCTATTCGGAACCAATAACATAGATGCCTTTCTCGTATCTACAGCTCCATGTAGCAGCGCGTCAAAGACCTTGTGAAACAGGCTCATCAGCCAAAAAAGATAGTGAACCTCAACATCAGCTGTCGACAACAACCTATGAATTACAAGAAGGAATTTATGAATCAGTAAGAAGGTCACTGTAGATACAACCCTCATGTTTCTGGTGCCTAATTATTACCGACGTGACGCCTTCAATACATTACGTGGCTTTTATCATTCAGGTATCGGAGCTAAGCTCACCAGTCGAATTTTCTGGCATGACATGAACAAGAAGTAAATGTTTTAGGCTAGTAGATGCATAGGTGGCCGAAAGGTTGAAGTAAGAACATAGAAAAGCCCTGCTAGTACTGTTTCATCCATGTTCATATAGGTCCATTTGGACCTCTGACAGAATCCCGTGGATATATTGCTACCTTGAAATGCGTTGACGGTTTCACTCGATGACCTGAAATAGGATCCCCAATCTCTCAAACTCCTTTTTGACGAAAAAAGCTCAAACTTCCTTATGAAGAGATGCATTGCCAGTTTAAACTACCTACCTTCCACAACAAATTACCATAGGCAGCTATTCTAAAGCAGCCCTTTTTTAGCCTCAACTAAAATTCATAGTGGGTTGAAGAAGCGCTTAGATTAATGCAGCGCCAATCATTTCATCTGCGACTATCAATCCTTTTGTTTGTGATGATAGGGACACATTGTGAACAGGCAGGTTTGTGGAGGACTACAACGTATTGATCACACTGTTTATATTATCTCCTTCATTTAAATAAACCCTTGATCACCAGGTTGGATGGGCGACTGTCAGAAGTCAGTTAGTCATGTAGCCGCGGTCCACAGCCAAGGATGTAGATACAAGCGAACGATAGTTTATCCTTATTTCGACGCTTCTTCCGCAGATGGAAAGGAAAATGTGGCACCAGTTGTGAAAACTATATCCGAGGTTGACGATATTTTATGATATGCTGAAAAAAATCAGAAAAACTTTTGATGAGAGTGGACGAGCACAATTTACGGAAGGATGTAAGATATGCTAAACGACGCAGTTTATAATTATTCGCGACAACTACACCTTCGAGACGGGATGTAATGCGTACGATGCGGAAAGGTGGCCTGGTCACTGAATGCATAGATTCGGATACAGGAGTAACCAGTAGAATTTCTTTCACCCTGCATTCACAGGTGAAGTTGTTTCACAGATTCGAGTCAGCCGTGAGCATCGGTTCAACAGTGCATACAAACTATGGGGGTAGGTTATACGCATACTGGTTGACAAGGTGGTGGTGACTGGTAATGGGGTCATGAAAAACCCATGTTTGGTAAAGACCACACGAGAGAGATCTTTGTATGTAGTTTGGATCATAGAACTATTCAAGAGGATTAATACAGGATACGTACATTTAGAGGGAAACTTTAGTAGACTTTTATAGTGGATTCTGCTTCAGTTGTCGACAATAATGACATACATTAGGTATGCTTCACAACTTCTATTTGTAATTGCAAAAATTTCACAACACAACGGATAACTTTCTGGCATATGCTACCAAGTCACAATTGAATTTTACAGTTCACGGGTAAATTACACCTTTAGTAGTATCTCTGTTACCGCTTTCAATTGAAAAAGCACTTTAGCAGTATAGCAGATGGTTTTGGCAAGATTTGCGTATTGTTCCCGGTAACAACTCAGTGAAGAAACTCTACAGAGAGATATTTCAATAGCACCAACAGCTGAGCAGAAGCATTTCACTAATAGAATGTATATATGGTGATGAATATGTTATTAACCCATCCCATTCAACCCTGAGTTACTTCTAGAATTTAATTTTGAAATCTAAGGCGCACGCATCTATCATGTCAATAACTGTAAACACACTTTAGATTCTAAGCTGAATACACCTTCCATTACATGAAAATAGTCTCATGGCCATACGCAGAAACAGTGAAAATTACTTCATAGAAAGCGAGTAGTACTTCGTATTATGCAGAAGTATGGGTACGTATTGGGAGCCTTGAAAACTTAAGCGAAAAGATTGATTTTTCCTTCATATAAGCACATGTTTCAGTGCAATGGTCCCTTTGAAAATGAAAAATTATTTTCAGGGCTTCGTACTAACAACTTTGTGGGAAGCAGATGTATTGAAAGGATACCTGCAGGCACAGTGCACGGCGATGTCTTATGGAATGTCTACAGAGACTGTATAGGGGATCAATTGAATTTATCTGTTCAACTGAATCTCAGCCATTTCGACATCAGTGGTCGATTTGTTTATCTGTGTTAACTAGATTGAACTGTGGAGAGGTGGATTTTCAGGGAACAAGTCCGTAGCCGTTCACTGTAGTATGATTGTCCATTTCCGTATTCTTTTCACTCCATTTTTAACATGCACATCTTTGAACTGCCGTGGGGCTTATATACGCTCTTCTGCAGAATGGGCGGTGTTAAGATCAGCCTGGAAACCAGGTTAGGCGGGCCGGGCTAAAGAGTCAGCAGGTGGTGTGGCTGAAGTCTAAGTTTAACAGGATAGATGGGCACGCAACAATCATGAGTTATTCCTAGTCGAAGCCTATCGGCAACGAGCTCCAAGTCGTTCAAGCACTGTAACTAACAAGCTTCCTGGAATAAGTGGGCCTAAGATGATTTATGTTGACTCAGCCCCATCTTCTTCCATGTCATTATCCAATGCTTGCCATGTTATACCATCACTTTTTCTTCTACAGCCTCATTAATTCGGGCTATACTTTCTGGAGGCTATTTCAATTAATTTCGGTAAAAGCATGCAAGCCCGTAGTATCAGAGCGCTGCCAGATGATAAATACACTCAAACAACGGGATATAACCTAGGTGAGTTTTGATAATAATAATATATATTTCACATAAATTAAGCATTTACATGATTGACATACCGTTTGTACAGGCATGATCATATTTGACAAGTGCAATTTGAAATGGAACACTGTTTTATGACATTAAAAATTGGAAAGATGGAAAAAGAACCTCTAGAAACGTTATTAGAATAGATTACAATATATTGGTTCAAGTCTAAATAATAAGATATTGTATACTTATAGTCAGTCAAATTCATGCGGGAATTACGAAATGTTGCGTTAATGGAAGGCAAGGAGAGAGGTGGTACACAGGTGCTAGAGTAAGACACACAGGATACAGACCTTAAGATCATTTTGTTTTGATCAATTACTAAGGGTTCGAAGATTTATACAACTCCACAGTAGAGGGTAAGTTCAGCATTATTTTGGTATTAGCAGATACAACGGACCAACTTTGCGATGATAAACAGATTTCAGGATGGAATTTGTTTCGTTGTTCATCGTATGTGCTAACAAGGTTCTCAATAACGCCCAAGTAATACAAACGTAGAAAGCAGCGTCACTGCACATTTGCAATGCTCCATTGCAATACCTTCGAGAAGGGAAGAAAGCAGGAAACAGAAAGAGAGGTGCAGAGGCAGCCAGCAACTAATAATAATTTAAGCAGACAATATGCGATAACCGCAAAGTTTACTTCCCTTTTTGTTACTAATTATTTAGAGTCATTGAGTTTTATAGTGTTACATACTAACAGTTGGTTCAGGTTTGTGGCAGTAAACAACAACAACAAAAAATATAGAATAATAAATTTTAAAAAATATATAAGGGCAAAACGAATTATGATTTTCACACCTATATAGGGCAATGGGAATAGAAATTGGATAAGTTAAATCCAAACGCCAAATTACATAAAATATGTAGAAGGAAAAAAAGAATGATAATACATATTTATGCTGTTGTTCTGTTTTATAAAGTTAGATGTCCTCATGAAGTAGAGAAGTCGTACCATGAGCTTGTTTTCAAAGAGTTTATACGCAAGCTTTGGCATACAGGCAGCTTTTATTTTATTTTTTGTTGAAGTCATTCACACTCACGAGCCTTAGCAATAGAGCGCATTCCCAAATTTCCACC